TTCAGCGATTGGACCGAGAAGAAACGACTCATCCGCACACTTCACGACCGTATCTTCATCGTCGAAGACCAGGATGGGTATCCAGAACGCGTGACCATGCCCGGAAACCAGTATGGCACGGATACTGGCAAAGTACACATCGTCAACGCCGCGGAGTGGTCCAACCTACCGTTGCTACAGTCACTCCAGGTTCCGCGCTGGCCGCCAACCACTCCTGAGCGCCTCTTCACGGTTCCCCGCAACCATCCACTACCGTGCATTGGATGCATACTCAAAGAACACATATACGGGGATGTTATGAGGTCCTCCTACGCCTTGACACTGCAAGTTGGTGATATCATCAACCACGACACTCCAAACGGCGGTATCGTTTGGGGTAGGGTCACAGCCAACAACCAGAGCTTGGAGGCAGTGAGGTGCAACATCTTCGACAATCCCCATGTGATTCGGGATATCCCCTACACGTGGCTTACTGTCAACCCTCAGTGGCGCAACGAGTACATCGAGCGTCGGCCGCCGCCCGTACGCCCAACCTTCTGTAATTGCGACGTCGCGCGCTGGCGCCACCAGCAGGAGAGCTGGCATAAACGCTTCAAGCTGTGCGCCACCGCGGACAAGTCAGAAGTCTATGTCGTCAGCCGCAAATACGTCCGCAAGGAACGTCCAATGGCAGAGTTCCTCGGCGTCTTGAAGCCGAATTACGACCTGTGGGGCCAGGTGTCTCCAGCAACTAACCGTAGCGACGCTGAGGTGAACCGTCATCGTATCCAAGCCCCGATGGGGTCTCAAGGCGAGGCAGAGTTGTGCTTCATCGATAGCTATCGGTATGGCAACTTTACGAGGTTCATACGCCACTCGTGTAAGCCCAATGCCGACTGGCATGATGTTCGGTATGGAGACATGCGCATGAAGGTCCTTTTCTCGAATCGAGTGATTGAGGAGAAGGAGGAGGTGACGGTTGATTTCGGGATCGAGTGGTTGGAGGAGAAGGGAAGCTGTGACTGCGGCTTGAATGAGTGCCAGCTGAAGCAGAAGCAGAAGGGCACTCCTACGAAGGGCACTCCCACGAAGGGCACTCCCACGAAGGGCACTCCTAAGAAGAAGTAACTTCGTCAAGATCTTCGTTATCGGATCTGACCAGTACGAATTCTATCTTTCTGCGGGTTTAGGTCGATACCCGTTGGTGTTGATTCATATCTGGTAGCGAATGTTTCGAGGAAAAAGGTCTAAGAAGCGACCAGAAAGCCAACAAGCACGACAACACTGCCTACACTCTAATGGGTACCTATTGGCTGTGTTAGCATTACGAACTTAGCATAGGCTCTATATAGACCCCTAGAATGAACACATTTGATTGAGATAGCAAGCAAAAGGATATCCTGTCAATGGTGAGAGATTAACATCATACGCCGTAGCAAATAATTTGACCTTTCATAACAGAGTCAGAACTGAATCGACAAGACAACCCAATTGCCCGACAACTTCAAAACTGAATTTAAACATCGATAATTCGCCTCTATCCAGACACGACTAGCACAACTAAGGAACAAGACCTTGAAGCCGCAAGACAAACATGAACGAGATGATCCTCTGGGATCACGCAATCCACATAGTTCCTTTCCTTTCTTGAAATTTCGGAACGTTAGAGACAATCGACATGCTGCAACGACTTCTCCATCCTGCGCTACTTGATTTCCTCGAAGTCATCCCAAAGCCTCTGAAAACAACGTTTGCCATGCCAACGCAACGAGCGTTGCTCACCGAACCCAGGTCATCTGCGGCAACAAAACAAAATGAGGTCACTCGGCCATTTCTTGTTTCCCCGAAGAAAACCCACGAGACTGTGAATACTCGAAGCAAGTCCCAGAAAGATATATAAACCCCCCTTCCGCCCGCCCTTGCTCCCCTTTCTCTAGACACACAGAAGCAACACCAGGAGTACAACCTTGACCCCAAGTATTATATACTCTTCGACCTACAAGCTCTTTGTATTACACCCTCTGCCTCGAGCCTGTCGACTTCGCTCCATTATAGGACCAGCAACAGCAAGCCGATCTTGCCAAGTCTATATCCCCGACCCTGATCTTCCCAAATCCCATCGCCATCCAAATCCCAAAGATGGCCGCAAACCAGGCTCCCGTCCCCCTACTGGTCCCCGTCGGAGTAATAGGCTTCTGCCACCCAGGTGAAATGTGGCGCTTGACAGCCCTCCACAACCTAGCTCGTCAAGCCGCCAACGAGGTGCTTCAACGCCAAAACTGGAGTCACGCGCAGCAGATTTTGACCCCTCGTCGATTCGTCTTCTCAATACCTGAGGTAGCCGAAGTGCGGCGCCTGGTCCGATTTATGCACTCTCAATTCTTATGCGCTGTAAACCCCAACGACTTCAACTGGCCCCTGAAGATCCAGATCCCAGGCAATGCACAAGTCCGATACGGCAAGGAGTTTGACGTCAAGCACATCCTGGATGCAAATGACTGGGCCGGGCTGCCTCGCCCTGCGCAACTGGCTGGTCCGCTCACTCGCTGGCCGCCGACGCGCCCTGAGGATATCTTGACGGTGCCGCGCGATAGCCCGGAGATGTGCATCGGGTGTAACGCGCAAGCGTGCAAGGCCGAGACGTTGATGATGGAGGAGTACTGCGAACAGCTCCAACCAGACCAGAAGATCGACTTCGACTCTGCGGAGCACGGCCGCGTGCAGGGCTACGTGGTCGCCATCGACACACGAATGCAGCATCTGCGCGTCTCGTCGAGGCGAGGCGGTTCCAGGACCCTAGAGATACCCTTCAGCTCCGTGCGGTTGAGCGACAACGACTGGTACGACAACGTCTTCACGGGGACCAAGCCAGTGGACGTGCAAGACCAGCCGTGCACGTGCGTGGAACTCGACAGATGGAGGGAGCAGCAGAAGGACTGGCATCGCCGGTTCGAGATCCGGGCCAACGGCAACCTAACGGATGTGTTTGTCGTCGCGGTAAAGCCTGTCAAGCACAACCGACCGATTGGTGAGCTCATCGGGATCCTGAAACCAGATCACTCGGTCTGGGGACAGCAGGCGCCGCCGACGCCGCGGCCGCAGGCGGATCTGGTGCGGTACCGGCAGAGGATGATCATCGGAACGCGAAACCAGGGACCTCGGGGAGGACCGAACCAGGGGGATATCGAGTGTATTGTCGACAACCACAAGTTCTGCAACTGGACGCAATTTATCCGCCATGGATGCAACCCGAATGCCGAGTGGATGGCGTCCCGCTATGGGGATATCCGAATGATCGTCCTGGTCTCGCTGAGGGTTATCGATGCGGGCGAGGAGATTCGAGTTGATCACGGATACGCGTGGCGGATTGCGAACGGCGGGTGCAATTGCGGTGCAGTGGACTGCAGGGGAACGCAGCCATGATGGGGGATGGACTGGAGAGAACAAACTTATATATCTCGGAGAAGGCGAAGACATTCACGTGGGAGACGAGTAGAGGAACCTGCTCGTACCGGAACTCCAGCAATAGTATGATCATGACTTCCTTGGCGGTGCAAGGCATTTTTGGCGGCGATGCAGGTAGATCTACCTTCTAGTCAGCGTCTGCATAATTTGTCATCTTCTATCAGAATACTTAACTACTCGTTGCTTTTCCATCCCAGTGAAAACATTGCCTACCCTCATCCAATTTCACCCTACTCATCCACTCGACCTGCTGACATCTTCAAAATTTGACTTCTTGTTAGATACGAGCTCATTTGACCGCTCTTACGATATGCATACTGTCTTTGACACGCTTTACTCAGCATCACTTGAAATGGTTTGAGAAAAGCTGTGTCGAATGGGAAAAAAGGAGGACAAGGTCTTTGGAGGCTTGATAAGGATGTTACCAGACTCGAATTGCATTCGTATCGCTTGTTCTTTACGTCGGACGCGACACCATGAGGTTCATCCGCAAGAAGAGTACCGAACCACATTGTACAAGCAGAGGTCTGTTAGCAACATGTTCAAGTTCTAAGATGATAAATGAGTTCAATAGTAGCTTAGTACGACCTCAACTCTCGTAAAGAGTTTCTGATGGCACTTTGAGCGGGTCTGGAACCTCTAGGTTATGTCCATGTGTGGCGGAACTTTATAGCGTTCCATCACTACAAGAATAGAGTTAAGGGTGCGCTCAGTATTATGCCATTTGGGTTTGAATGAATACATGGTCTGGTAGACGCCGTCATGGAGCAATATTAGAGAGCTTGAGCTTCATACGCCAGGATCCCTCATCGGTACGACGGATGGAGTCGAGCTATCGTGACACTCGGTCGAGTAGTTCCTTAGGGGATTACCGGAGGGGATGCATTCAACGTGGGGAAGTGGATGGTGGATGAGTGATTATTGGGGAAACGGCACAGTGCAGGCATATCAGTGACGTAATTTGCCAAGCGATCAGATAGGAGCTCGACCCCTCGTGTCGTTAACTAGGAGCTCTCAGCTACAATACCTTCTGCTACCATTTAGTGCTATGCCAGACGGATGTTAACGATGATATAAATTGACAAGCCTGTAAGCTGCGCCGGCTCTTGCCGCTCTTTTGCCTCAATGCCGCAGCGGGAGGTATTGCGGTGAGCATGACACCTCATGGGCAGGGCCAACAGCCTGGGACCCTCGAGACAGCAGGTATGCGTTATTTCGACTCTACCAGCGACAACCATAGACTTGATCATTTCTAACAATAGATAGCAGGGGATGTGTACACCAAAGCATGCCGCTGTCAGACTCTCGCTGGTCTTGCATTTATCGCGAATCTATAGATACGCAAACTGCACAACCTGTCGCTCGAAATGTTACCGCATGTTTGAGAGTAATCCACCCTCGATATCAAAAGCTCTCCGCATTCCAATGCTTCCGAAGCCAGATCCAAAGAAAAAGACATAAAAGAGATGCAATGAAGAAAAGAATAAAAAGAACTTCAAGAAGAGGCGGAAGCCCGACGTGGGACCTATGTCATATTAGTATGGTGCTATAGCTTAAGCACAGAGCGGACTACTCACTCGAACCCACAACCTTGAGATTAAGAGTCTCACGCGCTAACCAATTGTGCCAGCCGGGCTGATGATTGAATTGATTTGTGAAGGTTCTCGCAAAATTTTCAACATCTATAGTCGAAATATTTGTACAGCCGACGATTCCCCGACGGCGACATTTTCGGACTCGAACATCTTTGCCGTTGGTTCACCGCCATTCGATTTGTTACGAGGAGCCCGTATTAATTAAGATATATACAATAAGCTCGCGCCAACATTGTAAAGACATACTTATAGTGTATTATAGGGGTTAACAATGGCCGATGAAGCCTCGTGGCTATTGGGGGGTTCATGACTCAATAACTAGGGTAGATACACGCTCCTCGTGCTACCTAGACAGGAACAGGTTCCACACTGCCAACTCTTATATCGGGATTCATCAACGATCAAACGTCCACAGGACCGTGTAAGCAGGGGAACTCAGCCCATCTTGCGACCAGCCCATCTTCGATTCTGTTTCCAGTCGAATGTTCTAAAGAGTCTGTCCTCGGACATGGATGATGTTTCCGCTTTGCTAGGGTTCAGCATACGGACGATACAACCCTGCCACCAGTGCTTGCCGGAACGATGCTTCTGTCTTCTCTTTCCGTAAACTCATTCCAGGTCCGGCAAGCACTTGGCGCATCTGAGGGATTCCATCAATCTCTCACTTCCTCTGTGGGGTGGTGATCACGTAGGTCTCGAGGCTGTAGCATGGTCTATACTGTCATTCATGTTATTCATACGATCACAGACTTCGGGATATAGCTCACTCACTCTGCATGCTCAATTCTCATTTTCCGGTCGAATTCTTTGATCGTTCTCGTTTTGCGTCTTCGTCACTATCGATCAGCCAACTCCAAATCTTGCTTGCGAGCGCTTCCGAGTCCGACTCTTGTGGGTCCTCATTATGATCGACCTCGGGGCTTTGGTTCAGCTTTTCCATAGGTTCTGCACCACCGTATTTTTCGAGGCGCTTCGCAAACCAATCTAGGCGCAGCTGTCTCAAGTGTGGAGGATAGTAGTTTGGCTCATCGTTCGTTTTTAGGCTTTGACAACGCCACTCCCAGTACTTTCTTTGTCGCATACGATAGTGCTGCAGCATCTGGGGATTTTGCATCTGCGATTGAGGAAGGGATAGACCGGGGTCGCTGGTGTCTGACGAAGTGGCTTGTTGCCCTGAATGGCGAGTAAGCATCGCTTTATACGACATTCGTGAGGCACACTGCAGCTGGACTAGAATGCCTTGGGAGTCGCAGGCCCAGGCGCCGTGGGAACAGCCAACTCTTATACAGGGCGCAATGATTTCCGTTTTCGTACGGTTTACGGTGCGGACACTGTCAAGATGACCGGACTTCAGCTTGCTAAAAGGTTGCAGCACCCGAGTGCGAGTAATCCCTGCCGGAATTCCCATATGCCATTCACAGACGACATGACAGCAGAACACCCTTCACAGTGTCTACGAATCCTCCGATACGCCCTACGATAAGCTAATTCGCATTAGGCAATTAGCCTTTACGATCAAGCAAGTTCGCCTTGGAGATTTGCGTTTTGCCATATGCGGCAAATTCGAAACAAACGAAGGTGCCAAACGCCGGCCAATTCTCACCGATGCGAACGCGAGCAGCCTCATTACCCTTGAATCGTGGCAACCCCCGAGACCCACCCTGCAACCACTATTTTCTTCTGGCCCCGAGCAGATTGCCGCGCGCATACCTGCTCACTCGACAACCCAGCCCTGACCAGCTTGCCACTACGCCATCATGCGCTTGATTACTATCGGCTGTGAGTAAGATCGACATGGCTGACAGCTCAAACGTCAGCAACCTGAACTTTTCGCGATTAACGCTACATGTAGCCTTCCTAAGCGGCCTCATACTATGTCGCCCGGGTCTTGCAACGCCATCTCCTGAGCGCTTCGGTCTACTTTCTCGTGCTGAGACCGGTGGCGGGTCTGCGCAACTCGAAGCCTGCGCTCTAGCCGATTCACCAAGTGCCAATGCAAGCGTACAGCTTGCGAGTTGGGTAGAATGCAGCTTGAACGGTAAGCATAGGACTGCCGTAGATCCTCGCATAAATTGCCAGACGTGGCTAACACGAGCCAGGATTCTTCCCGTACCCAGCGAACGGACAGTGGGATCTGATCTTCGCTGCAACTTTCTCCGAAGCATTGAAAGCCACTTTCAACGATACACACTACGACTATGACGGCTGGCTTCAGCTTTACCACAACTTCAATGTTACGATAGGCCAGAACTTTGCGCCTTTTCAGCATGGTGTTCTCAACACGGTGGCCGTACCCAATGCCAATGGTGACCAAGGTGGCTTTGTCTACGTGCTCGGCTGGGAAGGAGGTTTCCAGACCCAGCTCAAGCGCGATCTCTACTTCACTGACGCGCTATTCGCGGTTGTAAAAGATTGTGACGGACGAAGGAAGATCACTGAGTTCAGGGAGAGCAGTAACATTCCAAATACAGCGCCGTTACCTCCACCAAAGAACTGGACCTGCACTTTCGGTTGAGCATCGTGGTCTCAACGACAGAATCCGACTACATAGTGCGAGCATGGGGTTACATGGGCGGTTGCGGGTTACCGAGTTGGGTAGTTACTTTGAGACCAGGGGTCCCAGGGCAACACTCGGATATTTACTTGGATCTCAAACACTGGATTTTCGCTAATCTCTGAGAGAATGGATCTAAGCCACGGCCGGATACGGAGTCTGGGGCCATAATGCAATCCTGAATCCCGAAGTCTGCCCTACTTATTGACTGTATGCGATCCGCCCAATCCTTATAGCCCTCTTCCTATCTTCGTCTCACTCTTTGCGTATAGCAAGGCTTGTCAACGCCCGATAGGAAGCAATTTTGCGTTCGCACGAAAGGCCGTAGTTGGTTGCAGTCGTGATCCCTGGCCTTGGGGCCACCTCGCCTAATGTACTCTTTGGGATATGGCGCCTATCGACGAAGCACACATCGCCGAGGGTTCTGTCGTGGGTTTAGGCAGCGATGGCAGCGAACTCGGGTCTCCCGAACCGCGCAATATGAAATTTCATTCCAGGGTATGCTTCGCATGTTTTCTGCTTCGTGAAACGGTCATATGCAAAGCTAGGCCTTCGCAATCTACTACGAAGTGCTTACCGCATTGGAGTTCCCCATGTGTTATGTCCCCACATCGTCAGCAGCCTAATCCGTGCAGCAGTTCTTACTGTACGCGCCTGCTAGTTTACATCAGCATGTACAGCTATGTTACCGACCGGCTCCCAAGGCGCATGCCGTATATCGCACGTCGCACAACGCACGATGGAAGTAACTGTAGCGTCCTGGGCTGTCGACAGTGAGACACAAACGCCCCTCATGGCACTCGCTTGGAGCAATTGCGGTAAACGGCTGTGCGGCTCGCGTCTAGGGAGTTCACGTCTGAGCCTAGAGTGGTACGCCTGTACGACGCCACGGCTGACCGTAGTATTGATTTTGGAGCCATATATGGTAGACACGCCGGGCGCTTCAATATCCCCACGTTTTTCTAATATCTCTGTGTCACTTGCATCAACTCGCACATACGGATATCTCCTCCATCGGCCCAAGCTACATCACTCGACGCCATTGCGTATGGACGCTGTCGATGAATGAGGAAAAAGAAACCAGTCTTTATCGCCATCTACTTCCTTAAAAGAACCACCGCCCAAAACTTGATTGATGGAAGATTGAATAACCTTGCTGTGCGTCGTAAAGCTCGTACTTCAAGCAAGCTAACCTGGAATAGCATGCAGGACGACATACGCGGCCCCCAAGAAAGCGAACACAAAGCCTGGATCAGCAGCAATCACGACATCGGTCCAGCATTCACATGTGCTCGGAAGTATGAGTTGATAATCTGAGAGTGACTCGGTAAGGTACCATTGCAGCTCCCGTAGACCCTGCCACGTTCGCTAATTTTCGGATTTCAGAACGTATAACGTGTCCGTGCGCGTGATGCGCCACATCGCGTGATGGGCCACCCACACCAAAACACTTATACTTTATAATCTTATAACTCTACTATTATAGCCCTAATTAATAATACACTTAACGTACTTGCATAGCGAGTCGGACAGGCAAGCGAGTCGGACACTCTGCCAAGACCCCACCAAAATGTACTATCACCTATAGTACAACATAATGTCTTAATAATACAATAAACTACCTATAACGTACTGGACGGGCGAGTGGTCAGGACGGGCGAGCGGTCACCCTTTGCCAAGACCCCATCAAAATCGCGACTATTATAGGTTCTTAAGAAGGCTTCTAATAAACCTGTATATAGATTCGTTACTAGAGCTATTCTTTAATATCTATAGTATTATTTTTATATATTCTTAAGTTATGCCTAGCCTTACTATACTACCTGCAGCGCCTTTAAGTTGGCTTATCTCTATTAACGCGTGCCTTTTTCTTGCCCTTCTTCCTATTACTACAAGCACTAAACTCCTTAAGAGCAGTTAATTAAGCGCCTTCCTTAATTATTAGGTTACCTTCCTTCTATACTTGCTTTCTTTTATATAAGCAACGTTATATAGTAGCCTTATTAGCTACTTTAAGCCTAGC